CACTCACCTCAGCCTCCCAAAGGCGCGGGATTACAGGCTGAGCCACCGAGTCCAGCTCGTAGATTTTTTTTTTAAAGATGTGGGGTACAATTCAGGATTAGGTATACAAGTGATCATTGTACAGGTAAAGTTTGAGCCTCCCTTTGGTCCTCACTTTGCCTAGTTTGAGATCAGGTACTCTTATTGTTGCTGTGACCACACCCTCCAACATCCCAGCAGTATTACGGTAAATGTTCAAGGTCCACTTATGAGTGAGAATGTGTGATACTCTGTTCTTTGTTTCTGCAACAGATCACTGAATATGATAGACTCTAAATCCATCCAAGTTGCTTCGAAGTTCATATGGTTGTCCTTCTTTATGGCTGTGTAATATTCCATCATGTGTATGGGCCACATTTTTTTTAATCAGTCCAGTTTCGATGGGCAACATGGTTGGTTCCATGTTTTTGCTATTGTGAATGGATTTGTATGCTTTCCTGAAAATTGCACTTTTTTTGTGTGTTTGAGTCTCACTCTGTCACCCAAGCTGGAGGGCAGTGGCATGCTCCCGGCCACCGCAGCCTCGACCTGCTGGACTCCGGCGATCCTTCCGCCTCAGTCTTCCAAGTAGCCGGAACTACAGGCGCTTACTACCATGCCCGGCTAATTTTTGATTTATTGTAGAGACGAGGTCTTGCCAGGTTGCCCAGGTGAGTCTTGAATCCGCGGGCTCAGGCAATCCTCTCGCCTCAGTCGCCCAACGTGCTGGAATTACAGGCTGAGCCACCGAGCCCAGCGAAAATTGCACTTTTAACAATACATACTGACATCTGTAGTTCTATGAAAGTTTTTGCTTTAATGTCTGATATTAATATTACTTTTTTTTGAATTGTAATTGCCTATTCTTTTAGTTGCAAGCTTTTCGAGGCTTTATACTTCAAGCATGTCCCTTAGACAGTGTATTGGCATGTTTTTAAAAATTGGTTCAACAGTCTTTTTTTAACTGCAGAGTTGGTTTATCACATTGGGAATTATTACTAATCTATTTCAATGGATTTCCACTCTTTTATTTTGTTCTTCGTTTTTTTACCTTCTCTTTTAATGCACTTTTCTCCTTTCTTTTGACTTAAATACGTTTGTTTTGTTGTTTTGAGCTGGAGTCTCACTCTGTTGCCCAGGCTGGAGTGCAGTAGGACACTCATGACCACCGCAGCCTCAACCTGCTGGGCTCAGGCGATCCTTCCGCCTCAGTCTCGCAAGTAGTTAGAACTACAGGCACACGCCACCATGCCTGGCTAATTTTTTGATTTATTGCAGAGATGAGATCTTTCCAAGTTGCCCAGGCTGGTCTCAAATCCCTGGGCTCAGGCAATCCTCTCACCTCCATCTCCCACAGTGCTGGGATGACAGGCGGAAACCACTGCGCCCGGCCTAAATACGTTTTGGGTTTTTTGGGGGGTTTTTTGAGTTGGAGTCTCACTCTGTCGCCCAGACTGGAGTGCAGTGGCTGCTCCCGGACCCTGCAGCCTCGACCTGCTGGGCTCCGGCAATCCTTCCGCCTCCACCCTCTAAGTAGCCGGAATTACAGGCATGCGCTACCACGCCCGGCTGATTTTTTGATTTATTGTAGAGATGCGGTCTCGCCAAGTTGCCCAGGTGGGTCTCGAACCCGCGGGCTCAGGCAATCCACTCACCTCAGCCTCCCAAAGGCGCGGGATTACAGGCTGAGCCACGGAGCCCGGCTCTAAATACGTTTTTATACTACTTTTTTCTTTCTCCTCCACTAGTTTGGAAAGTTATTCACTTGACTCTGTCATTTTAGATGTAGCTTTTAACATGTTGACATGAACCCAGAATTTTCAAACTCAAGAGCTAATCAATATCATAACCCTTCTCTCAAATAATAAAAAACCTTAGAACACATGGTATCCACAAGCCATTTCTGCACATGTCTGTTGCCGCCATCCTTGCTTCTTCCTGTACACTTACATTTGCTATTTGAATGAATTTCCTGAAAGTAAAAGTGAGATTTTTTAAAAACACGGACGTAAGGACAGCATCAGTAGACACTTCTGCTACTCCTGTCCCACCACCTTGAGCTGTGCGTGTGGTTTAGGCAACTTACCTGATCTCTCTGAACCTCGGTCTCTTGCTATGCCAAGCAGGGATGCCAGTATCCACCTCTTGGAGCTGTCGTGAGCCCTGAAGGTCATACAGGCAGGGCTCAGACTCCTAGCTACTATTACATAAATAACCTCAACCGAGGGCCTGAGCGCTCTGACTGCATCAGCGATAACGATCTGAACTAAACCACAACATCACACAAACACCACCCAGGACGTGGAGAGTTGAGACAGAGCTCTGCCTCTCCAGGAGAGATCACCTTCAACAGGTGGGCAAAGGCACACTCCTTCCTGAAGATCACAGGTCTGTGTGAGGGAAAAGTGCTGGAGCGGAGGTCGGGGACCTGGCTCTAAGCCAAGGCTTGCCTCAAATTTGCGGCAGGCCTACGGTCTCCATTTCCTCATCTAGGACACACACAGGTTGACCCAGATGAGCTCTTAGCGCCCTTCTCGTTCTCAGATTCCATCATACTATCGAAAAGAACATTTCACACGCTCCTCGTAACCTTCTCTAAGGCCCGGACTGCTGGTTTGGGTTTCCTGAGGAAGTGAGAGACGAACTCTGGCATTAAGCGTCTCTCTGGAGTTTTTGCGGGACCTGACACAGAACATGAGTCACTTGAGGGCAGGAACCAGCTCCCTTCTTCACCAGGTGACCCAAGTGCTGGACGCACTCCTGTGCAAACCAGCATCCAGCAGTGTTGTGCGCTCAGGGAGCTATCCTGATCTTCGTCTTGTGGAGGTGCAAAGATGAAGCCATCTACCAGCGCTGGCTGGGCTATGAATCCGACAACTTGACCTTGTTTCTCCCACAGAGCAGAGGATCTTCTCTCGAACCCAGCCCACGTCCTCCGAAGTCTCTTCCTTTTCTTCACCTTTCTTGCCCTTCACATGGACCACGGGGTCAGATGAGTTCTCTCTGGCTGTGAGCACGAGAGAAACAACACCAAAAGTCACCCCACCCACAAATGCTCATGCCCACTCGCCTCCCGCCAAGGAAGTTTCCACTGCTCCTTACTGGAGACCGAGTGATGCGTCGGGGTGCAAACCGCTCTGGATGCAGTCTCGGCAGTGACCCAGGGACCCTGCTCGCTCTGGAGGGCAACGGGTCCTTGGGAAGGGGGAAGACAGCGAGGGAGCATGCCAGCCAGGGCTTATCTTACTCTCAACCCTGGCGACACCAAGTGTGGTCCATGGGCCCATCACCCTGGCGTCATTTGGGAGTTTGTTGGACAGTCTCGCCTCCACACCTGCCCTATCAAATCCCAGCCCGCAAGGTCCCCAGGTGGCATCTGAGCGCACGCTGCTGTGGACCTGGGATGTCCTCCTTTAGGGTGGTGTCCTCTCACTGATCCAACAACCTTCCCCCCAAGTCTCCTTCACGCGTTGGTGTTTCTGGTTAGTTAGCTCAAGGGACACGAAAACATCTCAGGGAAAAATTAGATTTAGTTCTATTCCAATTCGAAACAAGGAGGGGTAAAAAGAGAAAAAAAGGGGGGGCTGGGCACAGTGGCTCACACCTGTAATCCCAACACTTTGGAAGGCCAAGGCAGGAGGGTCACTCGAGGCCAGGAATTTGAGGTCAGCCTGGGCAACATAGCGAGACCCTGTCTCTACGAAATTTAAAAAAATAAAATTTGCAGGATGCGGAGGACACCCCTGCAGTCCCACCTCCTGGGGAGCTGAGGTGGGAGGATCGCTTGAGCCCAGGAGTTCAAGGCCACGGTGAGCTATGATCATGCCACTGCACTCCAGCCTGGATGAGAGTGAGAACCTGTCTGTGAAAAACGCAAATGAAAAAAATAAGCAAGAGGCAGTTTTTCTCTTAGGGAAGTAGAGCTGAGGGCAAATAGCAAATCGCCGTTCCACATGAGACAGGAGCCACTGGCCTGCCAGAACGCTCTTGGTCTTCCTTGCCGTGTGTCGCAGGAAGAGGAGAGAGCGACACAGAAGGGCAGCATCTACCTCGTGCCCCCAAGTTTCTCGTCTTTTATCCGAAATCCAAGAAGTAGAAGCTGCACATTTGTCCTTCTGGGAATAGTGACAAGCGGTCGAGGGCATAATCCAATACTCAAAAGGGGAGAGCAGAGGTCTGGGAGTCAGAAAAACTGGCTTGAGGCCAGGTATGGTGGCTCACACCTGTCATTCCAGCACTTTGGGAGGCTGGGGCAGGAAGATCCCTTGAGGCCAGGAGTTCAAGACCAGTCTGGAAAACGTAGCGAGACCCCATCTATAG